GGGAAAAAATTGCATCAGTTAGGGTGACTGCCTGTCCTGTTGAGAAAAAATGGTGAGATTGATTGGGAGAACCCCCACAAATTGTGCGCAGAAGGGGTTAGTCGTTCTGTAGAAGATTCACAGTTTGATCAGTCTCACCGGGCCAAGAGTCTCTCATAAAGGACAGCGTCACGTGTGGCATATTAATTTTTCATGATGGCTGACTGTGATGTGATTCAGGACTGGAAAAATTGCAAATCAGGGACACTGGGGGCAATCTTGTATCAATTGTTGAACAAATGGCTTGGCACACAGAGTTTGAACCAACATTGTAGTGAAACTGATAAATTCGTTGGTTGGGCTCAAAAAATGACTAATAAGGGTCTCTTTGGGTCCTATAATGAAACCCCACCAGCAGATCGGGCTGTAAAATTGTTCATTAAACAGGCTGCTCGCCTGACTGAACAGGCACGTCACGCCATAAGACAGCGAGTTTGTTACAGAGGCACAAAACAGAAGCTAAACTTAAAGAATGTGAGACATTTTTACAGGACAGTGTCTGTTTTCTGGGAGAATTTGAAAAAATTCAGTGAGCTACATCGAGTTTTACAACAGCACATGTCTCTGATACTTCCTCCTGTGCCACGAGAGCACACACACCCTTGGCCCCTCCTCCTCACACACAAGCTGCAGAAGAGCCAGACTTTCAAAATAAAGCTTACCACCAAATGCCATTACGTGCTTTTGCTGACACTGAACACAGTGGTTCACCATTAGTTGTGATTAAAGGAGGTATTTTAAAAACAGCCAGTTTTCCCGGTAAGGAGGAAGACTGGACTAGTGCACAACAGTATTTAGATGGTGTGATTGCAGGATCTGGGGCACAGACTGCCCCGTGCAGTGAGGAGCCTAGCACTTCTGGTCGCAGTAGTGCAGTTGGCCCGGCCAGTATGAGGAATTTGCTGAAAGAGGGTGATCCTTTAGTTAAGACTCAGACTTCCAGTGTTTGTACTGCTTCTGCTGCAGGGAAGAAAAAACATGATAGTCATAGGGGAGTGCAAGTTGGGTCTGAATGTGATAGCTCTGATGATGAGTGGGGTGACAGAG